ATCAAAAAAATTATTCACCATGACCAAGTGGGATTCATTCCAGGGATGCAAGGCTGGTACAATATTTGCAAATCAATAAACGCGATACACCACATAAACAAAATGAAGAATAAAAACCACATGATCATATCAATAGATGCTGAAAAAGCATTCGACAAAATCAAGGATCCATTTCTGATGAAAACGCTAAGCAATGTAGGAATAGAGGGATCATATCTAGACATAATAAAGGCCATATATGAAAGACCTATAGCCAACATCATACTCAATGGACAGAAACTAAAAACATTTCCATTAAGAACAGGAACAAGACAGGGATGTCCACTTTTGCCACTCTTATTTAACATAGTACTGGAAGTCTTAGCCACAGCAATCAGACATGAAGAAAAAATAAAAGGGATCCAAATTGGAAAGGAGGAAGTGAAACTGTCATTATGTGCGGATGACATGATATTATACATAGAAAACCCTAAAGACTCCATCAACAATCTACTAGACTTAATAAATGAATTTGGCAAAGTAGGAGGATACAAAATTAACGTCAAGAAATCGACGGCATTCTTGTACACCAATGATGAACTCACAGAAAGAGAAACTGAAAAAACAATCCCATTTACCATCGCTCCAAGAAAATTACGATACCTAGGAATCAACTTAACCAAAGAAATAAAGGACATATTCGCAGAAAACTACAGGTCATTGAAAAAAGAAATAGAGGAAGATATAAAAAAGTGGAAGCACATACCCTGTTCATGGATTGGAAGAATTAACATCATTAAAACGTCCATACTACCCAAAGCAATCTATAGATTCAATGCAATCCCCATCAAAATACCAACGGCATACTTCACAGAACTAGAACAAATACTTCAAAAGTTCATATGGAACCAAGAAAGACCTCGAATAGCCACAGCAATGTTGAAAAAAAAAAAGAACAAAGTATGTGGGATCACAATACCAGATTTCAGGTTATACTACAAAGCAACTGTAACCAAAACAGCCAGATACTGGCACAAGAACAGGCATATAGACCAGTGGAGCAGAACTGAAAACCCAGAAATGGACCCAAGGCAATACACTCAATTAATATTTTACAAAGTTGGCAAGAGCATACAGTGGAGTAAGGACAACCTCTTTAATAAATGGTGCTAGGAAAATTGGACAGCTACTTGCAGAAAAATGAAACTAGACCATCAACTTACACCATACACAAAAATGAACTCAAAATGGATAAAAGACTTAAATGTGACCCGTGAATCCATAAAAATTTTAGAAGAAAATGTAGGCAACAAAATTTCGGACATCATACGGAGCAGAATTTTCACTGATACATCACCTAAGGCAACAGAAATAAAGGAGAAAACGAACACATGGGACTACATTAAACTAAAAAGCTTCTGCACAGCAAAAGAAACAATCATCAAAATGGAAAGGCAACCCACTGTATTGGAGAACATCATTGCCAATGATGTATCAGATAAGGGGTTAATTTCCAATATATATAGAGTGCTCCTACAACTCAACAAAAGGAAGACAAGGAACCCAATTAAAAAATGGGCAGAGGAGCTGAATAGACACCTCTCCAAACAGGACATACAAATGGCCAAGAGACATATGAAGAAATGCTCAACATCACTAATCATCAGAGAGATGCAAATTAAAACAGCAATGAGGTATCACCTCACACCTGTCAGAATGGCCGCCATCAACAAATCATCAAACAACAAGTGTTGGCGAGGGTGTGGAGAAAAGGGGACTCTAATACACTGCTGGTGGGAATGCAGACTGGTGCAGCCACTATGGAAAACAATATGGTGTTACCTCAAAAAATTAAAAATTGAACTTCCATTTGACCCAGTGATCCCACTGCTGGGAATATACCCTAAGAAGCCTGAAACACCAATCAGGAAGAATATATGTACCCCCATGTTCATAGCAGCACTATTTGCAGTAGCTAAGATCTGGAAACAGCCCAAGTGTCCACCAGTAGACGAATGGATAAAAAAGCTGTGGTACATATACACAATGGAGTACTATGCAGCAGTAAGAAAGAAAGATCTCTTATCCTTTGAGACGACATGGAGGGACCTGGAAAGAATTATCCTAAGTGAAAAAAGCCAAGCAGAAAAAGACAAATACCACATGATCTCACTTATATACGGAATATAATGAACATAACAGTCTGAGGAATACAGTAGACCCAGACACATGGAAGTAGGGCACAGACTGACATCCCTCAGAAGAGGGGTTTGGGGTGGGGGGGTTGGAAGAGATAAACCACAGTATTTATATGCATGTATGTATGACCAATGGACATGGACAACTAAGCCGGGGACGGGGCGGAGGTGGGGTGGGGGGTTCCAATAGGGTAAAAAGGTAAAATATCTGTAACAAAAAAATAAATAAAAAATACATTAAAAAACAAACAAACAAAAAACCCCAAAACAAAACAAAACAAAAAATTCCCAACCCAGTTGAAAACAGGCAAAGGACTTGAGTAGACAGTTTTTTTTCCCAAAAGAGGACATAGAGATGGCCAATAGACATATAAGAAGATGCTCAACATCACTAATTATCAGATAAATGCAAATTTAAAGCACAATGAGATAACAGCTCACACCTGTTAGAATGGCTATCATCAATATATCAACAAACAAGTGTTGGCGAGGATGTGGAGAAAACGGAACTCTTGTGCACTGTTGGTGAGAATGTAGATTGGGGCAGCCACTGGAAAAGAGTATGGAGTTACCTCAAAAAATTAAAATTGGAACTGCCTTATGACCCAACAATTCCACTTCTGGGAATTTATCAGAAAAACCTGAAACACTACTTTGAAATAATATATGCACCCCTATGTTCATTGCAGTGTTATTTACAATAGCCAAGATTTGGAAGCATCCTGTGTCCATCAGTAGATGAATGGATAAAACAGCTGTGGTACATTTACACAATAGAATACTACTTGACTGTAAAGAAGAAGAAAATTTACCCTTTGTGACTGCATGGATGGACCTGGAGAACATATAAGTTAAATAAATCAGCCAGAGAAAGACAAACCATATGATTTCACTCATATGTATAATTTAATGAACAAACTGAACTAACAAGCAAAATATACACAGACTCATAGATAGGCAGATAGCTTAAATGGTGGGGGTACATTTGGGGTGGTGGAAGGACTGAGAAAAAAAGAAACAAAAAGACAAAGAACTCATGGACATGGATAACAGTGTGGTGATTGCAGGGTTGAGGGGGCTGGGTGAAGGTGGAAGTGGGTATAGGAGGAAAAATGGTGATGGAAAAAATAAACAAAAAGACCCCAGTACTAAGTACTAGGAACTAAGGCAGGGTATATAGTGCTAAGTCGGGGCTCATGTGCATTACATAATTTATTCCTCATGACAACATATGAACTCAAATAATCACAGGTTAGGCATCTGATGCTTAAGGAAACGCAGTCAATAGCTCAAGGCCACACTAGTACATGTGATAGAATTGAAATTTCATCCCGAGTGAGATGCTTGTGAATGAGTTGGGAGGTGTGAGAACCATGGAGTTAGATGGATCCACCAGAAGACACTAAGAGAATACTACTAAGACACTGTTGGTAAACTTCACCCTGTGGCCAAATGGGGTTGCCACCTGATTTTGTAAATGTGTTTTACTGGAACACAGTTAAACACATTCCCTTATATAGTGTCTATGGCAGCTCTTGTGTTACAAGGACAGAGGTGAGTAGTTGCAACAGAGAGTGAGTGGTCCACAAAGCTGCAGTATTTACTATGTGGTCCTTTACAGATGTTTGCTGACTTGTATGCAAGCTACGTAGAAAGGCCAGTTGGCCAGGGCTCCTCCAGTGTCGGTGAACATTAATTTTATCAGCATAGGAGTATGATGTAAATGACAGACTGTCTATATTTGATTCCAGTTCTGCCACCAATCAGTTGTGTGATTGGGCCATGTTAGTAATCTCTGTGCCTCAGTTTCCTTATTTGTAAAACTCATACAATACTAGTTTCTACTCAGTGGGTTGTTGAAAGGATAAATTGAGCTGATACATGAAAAAATATTGGGAACAATGATAGCATGTCAGAAGTGATTTCTAAATCTTAGTTCTGGTCTTCACAATTCAATCATCTAAATCATCCTCCTCCTTCTTTTTAAATTAAGGAGAGAAGTAGGTTACACCAACCAATGCCATCCCTTCATTTCCATTTTGCTTTCTAGAAGATTTAAAACAGTACCCTCAATTGATGCAATGATTATTATATTAATATACATTTACTAATATATAAGATGGGATTAATATTATATATTATAGTTGTTAGTGCAATATAATCATTAGTGTAATATAGACTTAATATTTAAGATAATTAAATCTAAAAGATGAAAAGTCAGCTTATTTATTTTAACCACATATTCATTTGAGATTGTTAATGTTTCATTATTAAAATAGTGTTAGTTATTAATATAACACATAATTAATATTATATAAATATATAACTACTAACATACTATATAATTAACATTTGAAACAATTAAATTTTAATTTCTTAAAAATAGTCACTTCAAGGAATACAATAATAAAACCAGGAAGATTTATATATATATATATATATATATATATATATATATATATATATTAATCCTCACTAGAGGACACTTTTCTATTTATCTTCAGATAGAGTGGAGGGAGGGAGAGAGAGGGAGAAACAGAGAAACATCGATGAGAGAGACACATTGACTGGCTGCCTCTGGCACGACCAGGGCTGGAGATGAACCGCAATCAAGGTACATGCTCTTGACTCGAATGCAACCCACAGCCCAGCAGTCCTAGGGCGGATGCTCTAACTGCTGAGCCAAACCAGCTAGGTCAGGAAGATACCTTTAGGTGACTACTGTGTTTTTTACTATCATATTCTGGTGAAATTAAAGTGCTACATTGGTTCTCTGCTGACCATGGTCATGTGGAGAAGTTAACAGTGAGAACTTTAATTTACCGGGTAGGTGTTCCATAAAGGTGAGGCCGGGAAACTGCAGAAATGGCCACAATCACAGCTGGGACTCCGTAACCTACAGGGAACATGAACTTCTTCATGAGCCTGCTCGTGTTGGAGTAGTTGACCACCATCAAGTTGCGTGCAGTAAGGAAGAGGTTTAGGCCCTCCAGCAGCATCCAGGTGAAGGAGGCCAGGTAGAGATAGTGTAAGGCACCCGCGGTGATGGTACACAGCACCTGGGGGAGGAGTGAGAGTCACCAGGTGGGATTTTCAGGGTGAGGAATGAACCAAGGACCTCATCTATACATTGCCATTTGGGAGAACTCTGAGGAAAATGTCAAGAAAGGGTGTGTCTTCTAGTTGGGTCAGTCAATGTGAAATTAGCTACTCACCTCTCTAACATTCCCCAAACCCAAGGTCATTATATTAAGATGTCCAATGCAGTATGGCCCCATGAACTCCACATTCCCACAGGCAGGGTGGAGGTCCTTTGGGATAGTATCAGTACCTTAGGCTCAGTTCTGTCGATGGCCATGAGGAAGAGCAGGTGGGCCAGGAAGAGGCAGAGCGAGAGCTGCAGGTGCAGTGAGGTGCTGGTGTTCTGGATGGCTTTGCACAGCAGGAAGGTGAGGGCTGCCAGGAGGAGGCACAGCAGAGAGAGGCTCAGCCCCATAGAGGTGATCACAGCCAGGGCGGCATCCTCCTGGGACCCAACAAACAGGAGATATCAGCCACACTTTCCTGGGATGGGTTAATGAACGGTCCACCACTTTTAGATTTATTTTCCAGTGTAACAAAATCAGGAATGGAGGAGCCACATAAATCTTTGATGTTTGTGAGTAATATCAGACTTTTATAGGGTTCTGAACTGATTAATTTAGATCCTAGAATAATTGAGGGATAGAAGAGACCTTACTCAAGATGAAGTCCTGGAACTCATAGGGTTTATTTTCTGTTAGACTTTTGGGCATGACTAAACTTATAAGTTATCATGTGAGAAGAATAAAGTGTGTGTAAACAATATTAATGTTTATTAGCAAATGATTTATTAGCAAAATGATTTATTAGCAAAACCCCACTACAAGAGGCCTTGATGTATAATTTATGGCACATTCTCAAAATGAAATGCTATGTGGTAATAAAAAGAATGAAGTGTCTCTTTGTAGGCTGGAATAGAAGATTATTCTAGAAGTAATAAATGAAACACAATTTACACAATAGTGGAAAAAAAACACTCTGCCAAGTCTTTAAAAAGACAAAGACCAAAGAACAGATATATGCATTATTTTTATGCAGGGTGGAGCAAAAGTAGGTTTATTGTTATGAGTACGTAAAACACAGATTTTATTCTTATATTATTATTTATTAATTATTGTATTATTTTCCATACAAACAACTGTAAACCACTTTTACACCATACTGTATATATAAAATATCCATAGAAAAGTGCAGGAGAAACTAACCACTTTGGTTGTTTGAGGCAAGAGGAACTAGGCATCTGGGGCCAGGGGTGAAATAAAGAATCTTCAATGTTTCTCTCTCATTCTATTTGCATTTGAAATGCAAATATTTTAAGTCTTCAATAAATGTAAAACAGCATGTAAATAAAAGTATGAATAGTGTGTTATCCAGCTACATAGCAGGAGGAAAGATCATCTTGGAGTATTGCTCACACTCCTGAAGTCTTCTATGAGATCTAGCCATTTGGTTTTGATCCTTTTCATGGTTACTTTCATGTAGGTACCACATTTTTTTCCAGTAAATGCCCCATTACCTGAAGTCCCCTGAGTGAGTTTCTGGTTTTGTTGAACCACAGAATTAAACAGCTCAAGTGGACAGGGAAGGAGGCAAATATGGCTACTAGTCACTTGTACTCACTGGATCCCCTGGTCCCCTCTGATCTCTGCCAACACCGATTATTCCTTTCCGAAGCCCTTCATTATCCCTGTCCTGAATACCCCTTTGGTAAGCAGAATTCTAGTTTTATAACCATAACACCACCCATGTGTGTGCACATAACTGCTTCCAGATTTTCAGTAAAATGCCATCTAGGTGCTCCTGTGAAGACATTTTTCAGATGGAATTCAGGTCCATAATCAACTAACTTGAAGAGAGGGAGTTTATCTTGGGTGGGTCAGACCTAATCAGATGAGCCCTTAATGGATCTAGACTCTTGGGGAAAGTGATTTAAAGTTTGAGAGAGTTTTAATGTGAGGGACCTTCTTCTTCTGGCCTCCAGTTACAATACTGTCACATGAGAGGGCTACATGAGAAGGAATGCAGGTAGCCCCTAGGAGCTGAGTGTGGTCCTCTACTGCCAGATAGTAAGAAAGTGAGAAATCAGTTCTACAACTGTAAAGAACTAAATTCTTCCAGCAACCAGGGAGCTTAGAGGAAAACTGAAAGGCTCAAATTTGATTACAGGCCTGGCTGACCAGTCATTTCAGCCTTGTGTGAACCTGAGTACACAACCCAGGCACATTGTGCCAGATTGCTGACCTGAGGATTCTGCAGGATAACATATTTATTCTACATTTGTGGGAATGTATTACAAAAGCAATAGACACCGAATTTAGCTCCTCTTAGGGCTCTTACCTGCACATCATAATAGGCCATGAGGATGGCAAAACTGCTAAGGTGGGTGCATTGGCAAGTGGTGCTGGTGTCTCTGGTGTCCACTATCCAGCAGCCGTTGGTGGACCAATAACCACTTTCATTCGGGCCATGTTCCCAGAAGACACAGAATACCGTCTGCCTTGGCCCAGGGGTCACTGACTATAGGAACAGGGTACAGGTGTGAGCTGGTGGTTCTGGTGCTTAGACATGCTAACCCAAATCCTGCTTGTGATGGGTTATCTGAGGGAGATGAAGCAACCATGGGGAACCCCTTGAACCCCGAGTCTATGCTCAGAAATCAGGCTCCTTTTATACTTACAGCCTCATACCCCTAGGACTCACATGATTGAAAATGAAAGAAACTGGGGAGCTTAGTTGCTGGGTATTATTATTGTTCACAAAGACGGAGATGACATCTGAGAGCAGGACAGTAGAGACTTGCTGCAACAAGCCCTTGTGTGTCTCTTGCAGAACTGCCTGTTCCTCAGTTTCCAGGACCAGCGGGGCCTCAGCCAGCAACTTACCCATCCCTGGAGTAGAGATAAGGCCCACCACAAGAGGACCTACAGGACAAGGCAAAGGTTGACATCTTGGGGTACCCAACAAGCTCTTCTTTTTCAGGTAGACTCTTTCTTTGTGGCCCCACCATAGTCCACACTTTTCTTTAAACTTTAATTCTTCATGTGATCCATCTTTGGGTATCCTGTCCCACTGTGAAACCTCAGTGACCTTCTCCCCATCTCAGCCATTTACCTGAGTCATTGGATTTTTGTACTGTATCCCAGTTCAGCAGCATTTTTGCTTGATTAACACTCAAGTTGACATTCTTGTCTTCTTGCTTCTTCATCTTCAGGGACAGTTCTATGAGTTGTGGGAATTACATAAAGGAGTTTGATTAGTAATTTCATGTGCAATGGTTGTTATAATATATTATAAAAATGAATTATATAAATACTCTCTATAAAAATACATAAATAGGAGATTCCGAAATGGAGGCACAGTGAATGGAAGCTACACAGACCATCTCGCAGGGCCAAATTTGAATTACAACTAAAATAAAGATAAATAATTGGGAAAAACCAATAGAAAAGCATCTGGAGAGGACCCCTATAACCACAGTCAGAAAGAGGACACAAAATCAAGCCAGGTAGAAATTTCAGAGGCATGAGGGGCAGGCTGGGAGCCCATGGACAGCAGCTGTTTTAGCTGTGAGCAGCTCCCTTGGGGTTAAACAAAGGAATAAATGGACACATGGGACTACATCAAATGAAAAAACTTCTGCACAGCAAAGGAAACAACCATCAAAATGCAGCGATCCCACTGTATGGGAGAGCATAACTGCCAATGATATGTCAGATAAGGGGTTAATTTTCAAAATATATAGAGTACTCATACAATTCAACAAAATGAAGACAAAGAACCTAATTAAAAAATGGCAGAGGGCCCTGGCCGGTTTGGCTCAGCGGTTATAGCATCAGCCTGCGGTCCACAGAGACCCAGGTTCAGTTCCCGCTAAGGGCATGTACCTTGGCTGCAGTTTGTCCCTGGCCCTGGTTGGGTCGTGTGGGTGGTGGCCACTCGATGTGTCCCTTTCACATCGATGTTTCTCTCTCTTCCTCTCTCTCCTTCCCACTCTATCTGAGTAAAAAATGGAAAAATGTCCTCGTGTGAGGATAAAAAAAAAAAAAATGGCAGAGGACCTAAATAGACACCTCTCTCAACAGGGCATACAAATGGCCAAGAGACATATGAGGAAATGCTCAACATCACTAATCATCAGAGAAAGGCAAATTAAAACAACAATGAGGTATCACCTCACACCTGTCAGAATGGCTGCCATCAACAAATCATCAAACAACAAGTGTTGGCGAGGGTGTGGAGAAAAGGGGACTCTAGGACAGTGCTGGTGGGAATGCAGACTGGTGCAGCCACTATGGAAAACAATATGGTGTTACCTCAAAAAATTAAAAATTGAACTTCCATTTGACCCAGTGATCCCACTTCTAGGAATATATCCTAAGAAGCCTGCAACACCAATGAGAAAGAATATATGTACCCCCATGTTTATAGCAGCACTATTTGCAGTAGCTAAGATCTGGACCAGCCCAAATGTCCATCAGTAGATGAATGGATAAAAAAGCAGTGGTACATATACACAATGGAGTACTATGCAGCTATAATAAAGATCTCTTATCATTTGAGACAACAGGGAGGGACCTGGAAAGTATTATCCTAAGCGAAACAAGCCAAACAGAGATAGACAAGCATCATATGATCTCACTTATTTGTGGAATATAATGAACATAACAGTCTGAGGAACAGGGTAGTCTCAGAAACATTGAAGTGGGGTACAGACTGACAATCCCTAGAAGAGGGGGTAGTGGGGGAGAGATAAACCACAGAACTTATATGCATGTATGCATGAACAATGGACATGGACAACAAAGCTGGGAACAAGGTGGGGAGAGATGGGGGGAAAAGGAGAAACATCTGTAACAAAAATAAATATGTTAATTAATTTTAAAAAAAGGACCAGTCAGAAATAAAGGAGGCACTAACTGAAATAAAGAATAATTTGCAGAGTTTCAATAGTAGAGTAGGTAAAGCCAAGAAGCAAACCATCTATTTGGAATATAAGTAAGCAATAAAACACCCAATCAGAACAGCAAAAATAAAAAAAAATAAAAAATGGGGATAGTATATGGAGCCTCTGGGAGAACTTCAAGTGTACCAATATTTGCATCTTTGGGGTACCAGAAGGAGAGGAGAAAGAACAAAAAATTGAAAACCTATTTGAAACAGTAATGACAGAAAACTTCCCTAACTTGGTGAAGGAAACAGACATATAAGTCCAGGAAGCACAGAGACTCCCAAACAGGATGAACCCCAAGAGGCCCCCATCAAGACACATCATCATCAAAATGCAAAATGTTCAAAACAAAGAGAGAAACTTAAAAGCATCAGGAGAAAAGTAGTTAGTTACCTATAAGGGAGGTCCCATAAGACTTAGCTGATTTCTCAGAAGAAATTTTGCTGGCCAGAAGGGAGTGATAAGAAATATTCAGAGTAATGAAAAGCAAGAATCTACAATCAAGATTACTCTGTCCTGCAAAGCTGTCATTTAGAATCAATGGCCATATGAAGAGTTTCCCAGAAAGAAAAAGCTAAAGGAGTTAATCACCACCAAACTATTATTATATAAAATGTTGAAGAGTCTTCTTGAAAAAAAAAAAGAAGATCAAGAATATGAACAGACAAAATGGCAATAAATACATATCTATCGACAATTGAATCTACAAACAAAATGAACAGGCAGAACAGGAACATTCTCATAGACACAGAGAACATTTTGTTGGTTGCCAGATAAGAGGGGGGTTGGAAGAATGGGTGAAAAAGGTGAGGGGATTAAGAAGTACAATTTGGTTGTTAGACTGACAAACCTCAAAGGGAAGGGGTTTGGAGGATAGAAAGAAATAAACCAAGAACTTATATGCACATATGCATAACCAATGGACACAGACAACAGTGTGGGAAAGGCAGAAGGGCATCAATAGGGAAAAAAGGAGGAACATCTGTCATATATTCAACAACAAAAATAAGTTTTTAAAAAAATACAAATGACATATTTCACAGAACTAGAACAAATACTTCAAAAGTTTATATGGAACCAAAAAAGAACCCGAATAGCCACGGCAATCTTGAAAAAGAAGAACAAAGTAGTGGGGATTACAATACTGCATATCAGGTCATACCACAAAGCTATTGTATTCAAAACAGCCTGGTAATGGCACAAGAACAGGCATAGAGATCAATGGAACAGAACTGAGAACCCAGAAATTGACCTAAGACATTGAGCTCAATTAATATTTGACAAAGGTGGGAGCATAGAACAGAATAAAGACAGCTTCTTTAATAAATTGTGTTGGAAAAATTGGACAGGTACATGCAAAAAATGAAACTAGACCATCAACTTACACCATACACAAGAATAAACTCAAAATAGATAAAGGACTTAAATGTAACTTGTGAATCCATAAAAGTGCTAGAAGAAAAGGTAGGCATTAAAAGTTTAGATATCACATGCAGTAGAATTTTCACTGATACAATGCCTAAGGCAAGAGAAACAAAGGCAACAATTAATAAATTGGAGTATATCAAACTAAAAAGCATCTGCAGAGCAAAAGAAAGAAGCATCAAAATGGAAAGGGAACCCACTATATGGGAGAGCATAATTGCCAACGATACATCAGATAAGGGGTTAATTTCCAAAATATATAGAGTACTCATACAACTCAACAAAATGAAGACAAAGAATCCAATGAAAAAAATGTGCGGAGGACCTAAATAGACACCCCTCCAAACAGTACATACAAATGACCAAGAGACATATGAAAAAATGCTCAGTGTGGGGCTAGAAGAGATAAACCAGAGAACTTATGTGCATATATGCATAACCAAAGGACACAGACAATAAAAGTGGGGAGCCAGAAGGGGTGTGGGAGTTGGAGGAAGGGGTCAGGGGAGAAAAAAGAACATTTGTAATACTCTCAACAATAAAGATAAAACAACAACAACAACAACAGAAAACAAAACAAAATAAATATACCTAGGAATGAATTTAGCTAAGGAGGTAAAACACGTGTATTCAGAAAATTATGAGACATTAAAGAAAGAAATAAAATATAGAAATAAATAAAAACATATACCATGCTTATGGATAGGAAAAACTAATATTAAAATGTTCATACTACCCAAAGCATCTATAGATTTAATGTATTCCATATCAAAACACCAATGTTGGAAGCGATGTCAGAGAAATGCTGTCGTGAGATGTTTCTTTGATATCTCCCCTTGAAGTTTCAACAATTTGAACAGGTATATTTCAACAAAGGATTCCCTGTTCAATGTGCAAACATGTCTGAGTGATCTGCACATTGAAACACCTGAAGGTGGACAAGTGGGAGCAAACTGGGACGTGGAAAAGGAGAAGAGCTGAGTTTTGCCAGAGATGAAGCCCAGTGCTTTCCACTGGAAGCTTACTGAGGGGCTCAACTCAGAAAGGGGGAGGAATCAGGTTGCTGTTGGCATTCCCTTCAGCCAAAAGGAGCAAAGAGATCCAATGAGAATCCTACAGGAGTGGGCTATATGAACTGCAGCTGAGCCTAGTGACCTGGGCAGGGACAAAGTACTAAAGTGTGGCCATGGTTGTCTGGCAAGTGACATTCCAGACAGAGAAACAAAGCCACAAAGCCTGGTTGCCTCCCTCACCCTCCTAGAGCTTGCCTCTTTTCACCATCTCAGAGCTAGAAGCAGTTCTCAAAATAAACTGTAGCAGTGAGTGTTGGGTTGCAGAGCACATTGTTTGAAAACCAAGAACTGGTACTACAGAAACATTTTCTCTCTGAATGACAGAAACAATCTGCAACTAATCCCAGGGTTGGGTGGACACAGAGGGACACTACAGAGATCTGCCAATCCTTTTACTGAGAGAGAAGAGCAACAAGGGAAGTGACTAACTTTCCCCAACTCACTCCACCCACATACATTGTGACTGCACTGCTGGAAGTGTCTGGCTGCAGGGTACATTACTGGGATTTTACAGATTTGGAACCCAATTGCTACCACATTCCCCTGCAGGGTTGTTCCCCTGAGACTGAGGTGACCTGAATACAGAGAAGAAGCCTACCACCCCAGAGATCTGAAAAGCCAAAACAGTTGAAGATAACTAAAAACAACAACAACAAACAAACAAACAAAAAACAAACAGCCATGATTCAGCACCACCTGCTGGAAAACTGTGGAAAGGCTTCTTATCAATCTAGAAGTGACATTCATATATAAATGCATAGGCATAAAAAAGA